CAGGGGTCCCACACAACCCTGGAGGTGTATTAGTCCTTGAGTGCGGGGAAATGTCTTCTAGATGAATGTTGCTGGACATCCCAGCTCTCATGTGGGGAAGAAGCACACCCTGATATACACCTCAGATATACTCCATGGCTGATCTTCATCATGGAAGAAACAGTTTCATAAGGAGATCAGAGGTCCCCAAAGACATGGATGAAGTGTGGGACCGGGTTGGCCATTGATGGCAGGAGAAGAATAAAAATGGAGTCCTGTCCTGTGATTGGCTGAGTACATTTTGTGGTGGAAGATTTTGTAACCATTTAGGGGTCTAAAAAAAATAAATAAATCGAGGAACAAATGTGACCGACATTCTGCCCATATTTTTATTTTCTATGAACGTTGTCTCCATCTAGTGGCCATAATGTAATTTCCTATAAATAGCCCCCTTATCTTCCTTGGTCAGACATGGCTTCATCCTCATCCCTGAGATCACACTCCGACACACATGAGTACTGTAGACTCTGCAGGACACAACAATAAAAATGGAGTCCTGCCCTGTGATTGGCTGAGTACATTTTGTGGTGGGAGATTTCACAAACACTTGGAGGTCTATGGAGAACAATGTTGAACGGATGTGACCGGCATTCTCCAGCTGGGAGGAGTTTTGGCCGTATTTTATTTCTTATGATCATTGGCTCCATCTAGTGGCCATAATATCATATTGGGCTAGTTTTACTGATGGAGAGATTTCAGAAAAATCACCTCATTGTGTGGCCACTAGATGGAGCCGGCGATCATAGGAAATCACTGTGTTACTTAACATAGGGCCAGATGTTGTCACAGCTGGAGGAATGATTGTCTCATTGGTCCAATGAATGTTCTATAAATAGAGCCCTTGGTTTCCTTCATCAGTCAGGGCTCCATAACACTCCGCACTGAGGTCACACTCCCGCACCTGAGGTCACACTCCCGCACTCTGAGGTCACACTCCCGCACTCTGAGGTCACACTCCCCACACTCTGAGGTCACACTCCCGCACTCTGAGGTCACACCCCCGCACTCTCACACTCCCGCACCTGAGGTCATACTCCCGCACCTGAGGTCACACTCCCGCACTCTGAGGTCACACTCCCGCACTCTGAGTCCACTCCCGCGCACCTCTGAGGTCACACTCCCGCACTCTGAGGTCACACTCCCACACTCTGAGGTCACACTCTCTGAGGTCACACTCCCGCACTCTGAGGTCACCCTCCCGCACTCTGAGGTCACACTCCCGCACCCTGAGGTCACACTCCCGCACTCTGAGGTCACACTCTGAGGTCACACTCCCGCACTCCCGCACTCTGAGGTCACACTCCCGCACTCTGAGGTCACACTCCCGCACTCTGAGGTCACACTCCCACACTCTGCACTCTGAGGTCACACCCCGCACTGAGGTTCCCGCACTCTGAGGTCACACACTCCCGCACTCTGAGGTCACACTCCCGCACCCCACACTCTGAGGTCACACTCCCGCACCCTGAGGTCACACTCCCGCACCCTGAGGTCATACTCCCCGCACTCTGAGGTCACACTCCCCGCACCCTGAGGTCACACTCCCGCACTCTGAGGTCACACTCCCGCACTCTGAGACCCATAAAACTTTATTTTGGTGGTATTTATTCACCGCTGGAATTTTTATTTTTTTTTGCTATATAAATGAAAATGTCCAAAAACTTTTGAAAAAAAAGTTTTTCTTATAAAATGTTGCAAATAAATAATCTTTTCTTCATAAATCTTGACAAAAATGTATTCAGATATCTTTTTAGTAAAAAAAAAAAAAAACCCAAATTAGTTTATAACCAAAAATTATAATTTTTTTAAAAAAAAAATTTACATTTTTATTTTTTTTATATTATTATTTATGTTTTTTTTTTACACCCATAAAAGGCTGTAAAAGCAATAATTTTCTCCTTCTCTCTGGCTCCATTCCTGCAGCCATTGAGAAATACTGTGAGAGCTGTGATTGGTCACAGCTTGTCACATGGTACAAGTCTGTTGGGAATAGCCCTGTACCATGTGACCTCGGTGATCATTCACAGATTTCACTGGTAGTAAGCAATGATATCAGGAAGTGACATTCTCCTTACTACTATTTCATGTGATCACTTGTCTTCAGTTCACTGGTCTTCCCAGTGAATGGCTGTGCTGGGAGGGGGTATGTCAGGACAAATCTGATGATTGGAGGAGAGCAGACCGAGCTCCCAACACAGCTACAGAACTGACCATGCTGAGCTCTCATGCCTAGTGTGGTCAGTTTTTAATAGGAAATCAGAGGGACTGGCAGGATCACACAAAGGAAGCAATACAGAGAGAAGAGGAGACGTCTTCATACCAGGACATGGGACAGCCGGCACAGATCAGGAATAGGACATGTTGGAGGAACATTATTCTTTGAAGGAGAAGTTCAGGCAAAGCTCTTTTGTCTGTACTTCTCCTGTGGATCAGAGGAGTGCAGTTCATTCTGATCTCCTGTGACCCGTTTTTCAGGTGAAGCCCGCTGTCAGCTGACGTCACTCAGCCGGTCCAGGCTGGGGAAAGATCCCGACATCAGAGTCTGGACCAGCCGCACCCTCCCCTCCACAGCCCAGTGTGTGTGGGGGGGGGGGGCAGGGCAGAGAGCGGTGACTGACAGTCACCACTCTCTGCTCAGAACGGCTGTGAGAACTCATGGTCAGCAATCACGTGATCGCTGAGTTCTCACACTTGGAGCCGGCGGGGGATGGGTGCAGCATCCACCTAGGGGCAAGGATGATTTTACAAAGTCAATAAATAAATGCCATACTTTTCTGGCCTTTAGATGGCGCTAAGTATCATAGAAATTAGAACCATCTTATTGCCAAATGTGGTATTCTCCATTTTATATCCATGGAAACCATTCACCCCGCCCAGCACAGAGCCTACTCCCTCTACTCCCCCCATCCCATTCACACAGAGGGAATGACAGGCACATTCACCGGGTGTATTGCTGTGCAATTGTTTTATGAACAGACTCCTAGATGATTACAGCTACTTATATAGGGCCATCAATTTACATATTTACCCATCAGTCCCCGCCCCCGAGGAGCCTACAGTCTAAGGTCCCTAACTAACATTCATACATACATACATACTAGGGGCCAATATAGACAGGAGCCAATTACCTTCCAGCATGTCTTTGGTGTGTGGGAGGAAACCGGAGTACCCAGAGGAAACCCACGCAGGCACAGGGAGAACATGCAAACTCCAGACAGGTAGGGAAGTGGTTGGAATTCAAATCAATGACATTAGAGCTGCTAGGAGGAAGTGCTAACCACTGAGCCACTGTGCTGCAGAATATGTTTCTATAAAGGTGGGAAGTATGTAGCAGTGAATAGACCTCCCAGCAATGTTATTACCAGGCTGCAGCTAGGGGGCGCTCTAATGTGTACAGTGTGACCCCAGCAGAGGGATCCCATCTAGCCCACATTAACCCTCTCACTGCCAGAGCTGTTTCTGCATTTTTCTTTTGCGTACATATTAAACCGCAGACTTTGGGCCTGAAGATTAGTTAAACCCCCAAACATATATATCATGAAATCAGAGGCCCTGGAGAATACAATGGTGATAGTTTTGAATTTTTGAGAATACAAATACATTATTTTACCAATTTGTTAGTAAAATATAAAAGATGAGGTTGTGCCAAGTCAATAGATACCCAACATGTCCAGCCCTAAAATGGGGCGTGCCATTGAGATGATGAAAAACATTTTATATATATATATACTGCTCAAAAAATGAGAGGTACACTTTGAAAACCCATCAGATCTCAATGGGGAAAACTCTCTTGCTGAATATGTATACTGATATGGACAGGGCAATGTAAGGACGCCCCATCGTTTGAAGGAAATGAAAATGATTGATCTACAGAGGACTGAATTCAGACACCATGAAAATCAAAGTGAAAAAGTGATGCAGCAGGCGAGTCCATTGTGCTGAAATTTAATTGCAGCAACTCAGAATGATACTCAGTAGTTTGTATGGCCCCCACGTGCTTGTATGCATGCCTGACTGACAATGTTGGGGGAGGCTCCTAATGAGACGATGGATGGTGTCCTGGGGGATTTCCTCCCAGATCTGGACCAGGGAACCACTGAGCTCCTGGACAGTCTGAGGTGCAACCTGGCAGAGTTGGACGGACCAAAACATGACATCCCAGAGGTGTTCTATTGGATTTAGGTTTGGTGGCCATTCAATGGTGTCAATTCCTTCATCCTCCAGGAACTGCCTGCATACTCTCACCACATGAGGCCAGGACATTGTCTGCACCAGGAGGAAAACAGGACCCACTGCACCAGGAGGAAAACAGGACCCACTGCACCAGGAGGAACCCAGGACCCACTGCACCAGCGTAGGGTCTGACAATGGCCTAATAGCATTCAGGGTGCCATTGTCTAGCCTGTAGAGGTCTGTATGTTCCTCCATGGAGATGCCTCCCCAGACCATCACTGACCCACCACCAAAACAGTTATGCTGAACAATGTTATGGGCAGCATAACATTCTCCACGGCTTCTCCAGACCATTTCATGTCTGTCACATGTGCTCAGGGTGAACCTGCTCTCATCTGTGAAAAGCACAGGGTGCCAGTGGTGGACCTGCCAATTCTGGTGTTCAATGGCAAATGCCAATCCAGCTCTATGGTGCTGAGCAGGGAGCATAGGACCCACTAGAGGACGTCGGGCCTTCAGTCCACCCTCATGAAGTCTGTTTCTGATTGTTTGGTCAGAGACATTCCATCAGTGGCCTGCTGGAGGTCATTTTATAGGGCTCTGGCAGTGCTGTTTCTCCTTGCACAAAGGAGCAGATACCGGTCCTGCTGATGGGTTAAGGACCTTCTATGGCCCTGTCCAGCTCTCCTAGAGTAACTGCCTGTCTCCTGGAATCTCCTCCATGCTCTTGAGACTGTGCTGGGAGACACAGCAAACCTTCTGGCAATGGCACGTATTGATGTGCCATCCTGGAGGAGTTGGACTGCCTGTGCAACCTCTGTAGGGTCCAGGTATGGCCTCATGCTACCAGTAGTGACACTGACCCTAGCCAAATGCCAAACTAGTGAAAAACAGTCAGAAAAGATGATTAGGGAAAAAATGTCAGTGGCCTCTGTGACGATCGCGGCGTCAGACCCCAGCCCCTCTCACCAAACTCGTGACCAAAGGACTAGCCAATCTAAAACCGTGCTGTCATGTGCGTAACAATGCCACACCCAGCACAACGATTTTCCAGCTAATGGACCGCAGATCGACGTACCGGCAGCCTGAATGCGCTTGTTACTGGGTCAGGTTAATTATGCAATTAACCCTTCACACTGCCACCACCTCCTTTTTATACAGAGAAAGAGGAAACTCAGCAATACACTAGGATGATTGGTTAATTGACAGTATACCGCTATCTCTACAGACCGGTTATACAGAGGGTTAAACACTCATTTATTTATTTCAGGTACTTATATAGTGCTGTCAATTTACACAACGCTTTACACATATATATATATATATATATTGAACATTCACATCAGTCCCTAACCCTCAAGGGGGGTACAATCTAAGGTCCCTAACTTACATTCATACATACACATATTACGGCCAATTTAGACAGGATCCAATTCACCTACCAGCATGTCTTTGGAGTGTGGGAGGAACCGGAAGCACCCGGAGGAAACCCACACAAGCACAGGGAGAACATGCAAACTCCATGCAGGAGGCACCATGGTCAGGAATCGAACCCATGACCCATTTACTGCAAGGCAGACGTGCTAACCACTAAGCCACTGTGCCGCCCACAGCAGGGACTCGTAAATTGCAATTAAGAGCTATAGAAACAATTCAACACTTTCAGAAAGTAAGATTTATTACTAAAAGGTCAAAAGGGTGCAGTAGAAATATTTACAGGAAGAAGATGTAACATATATATATAAATATACAGAGCAATACAGCACAGCAAACAGATAACAGAAAGAAGTTTAGGTAAGTAAGTACTTGCCAAATAAATTCCTGGGGTTAAGCAGTTTCAAGTCTGATGAGCTAAAAAAGGGATTTCTGGTCTCTCATTGGGTTTCGTTGTTGCCGTGAGATTCTCCTTTGCTTTCTGTCCGATAGATGTTATATTGAACGGTCCTCACTTGTCTGACTCCTCACAAGAACTAACTGCGTCTTTTTCCTACACAAAACCTCTTCCCACGATGGACAAGCCAAGCCTTATTTGGCAAGAGGATTGTATAGACAGCCCCTTAGCAAGGTACGCTGAATGCGTTCCTGAGGGAGGGGGGAAATCGGAGGAGAGAGACTGATTTGGGAGTTTAAGAGAAATACCAAAATATAGTTGTTTTGGAGCAGAATGGATGACCGCGCCCATCTCTGTGTGCATGATTGTGACAGCCTCCACCTGTAAAACCCATGTCTGTTTTGGGGGTCGTCTCATTTTTGCCCATCTAGTGTACCTGTTGTTCATTTTATTAACACCAAAGCAGCTGAAACTGATGAACAACCCCCTCTGCTACTTACCTGACCAGATCAATATCCCAGGAGGTTCATTGGCTTGGTGGTAGACTCTGATTAAAAAGTCTTCCT